AGTGCAGGGAGATAGATGGAAGCATGGCTCAGCAGTAAAGCACCAGCCTAACAAATGAAGCCTTGACTTCAAATGCTAGTACCACCAAAAGAACCTACCACGTGCCGGAGGAACCCCCTGGCAGATCGGCTAGATTGATGCTGGTTTGGTGAGGTTTCCATGAGGCCCCAATGCTAGCTTCAGTGTTTGCTTCTCTTTCCCATCCAGCATGATGGGAGAAAACTGCCCTTTTCAGACAAAAACTACAGAGATGTCCAGTCATATCCAATTTACTGACTTAAGAGATGGTCTAAAGCAATGGCAGTTAAGAGGGAGATGATGATGTAAGAGGAAGTGTGGTTCAAGTGGTAGAGCCCAAGCCCTGAGTGAAAAAAGGCCAAGGGAGAGCATGAGGCCCTGAATTCAAGCCTTGGAACTTGAGACTTCGTGTGTGTGTGTGTGTGTTACACAAAATTATTTAAAAATATAAAAAGCTTAAAAATAAAAAGGAAAAGGTCATGGGGCAGGAGAGAATGGTCACAAGTTACTTTCACTAGAGTCCAAATTCTGGGGAGAAGAGAAACAGACCTTTTTGGAGCTGCAGAAGCCTGCACACAAAATGTTTTCAAAGGCGTTCTGTGAAATCTAAAGATGTCCACAGCCAGCCAAAACTAGATGGAAACCCTTACACTTGGGGCTGCTAAAGAGTAACACCAAGTTACCCATGGAACAACAAAAAATAAGTACTTTAACCTTTTAACCTTGAGTATTGCGAACAGGTTCCTCCCAGAGGACACCTAGCTGTGACTTTTACAAATGGGTAGAGGGCTGTCAAAGGCAAAGCTGTCACTTGGGGAAGCCTATGCCATGAGATTTTGTTCCTGTATCCTCTCAGGGCCTGTTGAGAGAGAAGAGACTCTCAAAGCAGAACCACCTCCTCAAGTAGAACCTTTGAAATAGCTTTGCAACATGCCTGTTTCTGTACCCAAAATACAATATTGTTTAGGGCCCTAGATAGACTCAAGTTTAATTCCAGGCTAGCATTGGTTAGAATCTCAGTAAGTCCAAAATGGATTCACCATAAAATGGTGCCAACTATTTCAAATATCAAGGACCGATGTTACATGACACAGGCGTAACATGACACAGGCTGCTGACAGATGCACCAAAGCCTCCCACCCTTTAAAATAAATTACTGCCTTAGAAAGGAAGAGTTTTAAATTGTTGAATTCTTCCCAAAACGAAAACTTAGCATGCGTCACAATGTGTTTGCTTTTTCTAGAACTTGAGACCTTTATAGATGCCGATAGAGTGGGTGACAAGGGGAGGCTGGCAGAATGTTGGAAGAGCCTGAGGACTTCTTTAGGCTCCTGCATTATATAGGTTCCATGAACTGTTACAGAAAACCTTGCACAGGACATCTTACTGTGTCACTTACCTTGATAAAACCTACCGAGATGGAACACAAAGTTAAACACTGACAGTACTGGAAAAAACTCTAACTGTACTCACATGGGCATTTCTTACCCAAGGTGAGAAACATTCAGTCAAGCTCCTGTGTGACCTGTCTGCCTAAGCATGTGTGCCCAATACACAGCCCCAAGTCTCCACTGCTCTGTAGTTCCCAATTCCTGGTCTTGCAAACCTTTGCTATCTCAGCAAAGCTTGCCTCTTTCTCCTTCAAGGCCTGAGATTCACCCATCGGAGCATGGGGAAACATCTGGGCCTGGTGTGCAGTGAGTCAGGGTGGTACACTTGGTCATCCTTAGTGGGTACATGTGTGGGTGGGGGGAGGGGTAGCTTCTTCCTTCTGATCTCAGCACCACTGTTGAAGGCTTGTTACTTCAGTCTGAATACACCACTTGTGCCTCCCTGGCAGCCAGAGCTTCGAGACAGACTGCACTTTGTATCCTGCTGGCTAGCTGCAGCCGTTGGAGTGTAAGGAATGCAATACTTATATGTTCTGCTTCCAGAACCCCGTGCTCTGTGGTGGCATCCTGTAGAAAATGTACCAAGAACCACCATGGTGATCATTCAGAAGACAGCCATCCCCCTCAACTCTATTTTCCTTAGAGGTGAAATATTTAAACTACAACCTGAAATTACACATACCCGCACACACATCAGGATAGGGAGGGCTTGGGGTTGCTTAGGAATTGTTTTCAGGAATAATCACACCATATGCCTAGCACCATGCATACCTCTTCTAATGTTTGTGACAGAAATTTCATTCCCACCTTACAAGGATGGGGAGAGCAGGCCTAAGATGGGTAAAGTTGCCCAGCTTTGTCTCGTTTTGTTTCTTGCTCAATTTCTCATCTGTATGAATTGCACTTGCTTATTGGAAAGTAGTGAAAAAATGCACCAGGATTGGAATCCATTAGAACGCATGTCCTCCCAACATCAAGCCGCCTCCTTCCAAACCAGAACTCTAGCAGTGAGTGAGTGGGCACAGGACCCCTAAAGCAGATGAACAGGCAGACCCAGGCCTCCAGCCTGTACACACTAAGGGATAGTTGTAGTGGTTAAGGTCTGTGTCAAGGCTCTGTATGCCATGAAAGAGGAAGTTCTAGGTAGAAGCAGCAAGCATCTCAGCCTACTGTTCCCAAAGTAAAGTGACTATAATCCTTCCTCTTCATATAGGCCCATTGGATACTTTACACTCCCTGCCTTTTTGTTGTCTGTGTAGCAGGTGTGGAGCCTCCACTTTTGTCAGCCAGGGGAAGAGGTAGAACATGTGGCTGTGGGACCACAGATGAGAAAGCTTTCAGTAGCTGCATTTCACCATCAACTGAGCACAGGCCATAGCAGAACACGGTGACAGGCAATGGCCACACCGTGGACCAGGCTGCCACCTGCCCCTGTTCTCATCTAGAAACTAATACAGAGAGCAGAACTTGTGTAGTTGTGGGGGAAAAAAGTGTATGGAATGTTTGGAATGATCAGTATGCAACAAGTATTTACTATTACACTGTTACTATTGGGTTATTGATAATATCATCAAATCAAATAGTTCTCTAAGGCAGATTGCTAGAGATCACAGGAATACCGACTCAATCAAGGAATTAATCCAACCCCAATATCGAGAACAACCCAATGTGACTGGAATGCCGACTATCTCACAGAATGTAGCATTCTCCTCTACCCCTAAAAAATTGTCTTAACCAGAATCAAATTATGGAGACACTACCAAAATTCCAGAACATGGAGCTTTCTATACAATAACTCGCTTGGAATTGGATACACTTAGGGGTGTTTTATTTATGTTTTGGTGGTGGTGCTAGAGATTGAACTCATGGTCCTGTCCTTGTCTAAAACTTATTTTAAATTATTTAAGGGAAAGTCTGTCTGTATGAGTGTCTATTGAGACAGAGGAGGAAAAAGGGAAGAGATGAAAGCATAAAGCTTATGTAACAAAAAGAAATTGATAGATCTAAGATGTAAAGATCTACGAGGGGTTCAATACATTCCATTTAGGCTTACAATTTTTCAAATAACAAGTTGAAAAAATTTCCATGAGTGCAATAGTCAGAAATGAAATTCAAGCCGGGCGCTGGGGGCTCACAGGCATAATCTCTGGAGGCTGAGATCTGAGGATCGCAGTTTAAAGCCAGCCCAGGCAGGAACGTCCATGAGACTCTTATCTCCAATTAACCTCCAGAAGACCGGAAGTGGCGCTGTGGCTGTAGAGCGCCAGCCTTGAGCTGAAGAAGTCAGGGGCAGTGCCTAGGCCCAGAGTTCAAGCCCCACAACCGACAAAAAAAAAGGAAATTCATGTTGGGTGCCAGTGGTTCATGCCTGTAATCCAACTAATCAGGAGGCTGAGATCTGGGCAGGACACATCTCCAATTAACAGCAAAATAACAAACTGGAAATATGGCTCAAGTAGTGACATGTCAGCTGTGATCAAAAAGCAAGAGAGCATGAGGCAGTGAGTACAAGTGCTAATACAACACACACACACAGAAAAGGCTTTTTTTTTTTTTTGTCCATCATGGGGCTTGAACTCTGGGCTTGGGCGCTATCCCTCAGCTCTTCAGCTCAAGGCGAGCGCTCTACCGCTTGAGCCACAGCACCACTTCCAGAAAAGGCAGTTTTCTTGAACAGGTTTTACATAGTATATCCTAAGTAAGTGAATAAAGCTGAGTATGGTGATGTATTATCTGTAATTCCAGCAGTCACAAGGCTGAGACAAGAGGATCAAGAGTTTCATGTTAGCCTGGGCTTATGTCTTGTATGAAAAAAGTTAAAAATAAAAATAAACAATAAGCAAGTAAAAAGTATTATATTGTTGTTCTGAAATTTCTTTTTTTTTGGGGGGGGGGATCCAGTAGTGAGGCCTGAACTCTGGGCCTGGGCGTTGTCCCTCAGCTCTTCAGCTCAAGGCTAGCACCCTACCACTTGAGCCTCAGTGCCACTTCGGGCTTGTTTTTTTTTGCTTATGTGGTGCTGAGGAATCGAACCCAGGGCCTCATGGGTGCAAAGCAAGAGCTCTACCACTGAGCCACCTTCCCAGCCCATTGTTCTGAAATTTCTCCAGGTGAAACTCATTCAGCTCAACTCAGACAGTGAAAACTTTGTCCAAAAAACAAGGAAACACAGGCAAACGCACAAACTCAACAGCATTCTACACACAGCCTGAATTAAGTACAGCTTTAAAACTGGAGAGAGAGGCTAGGAGAAAAAAGGAATGGAAGACTACTAGTCATAAGAGAGAATATACATATGTGAAAAAGGAAATAGGCAACTTGATGACTGGTAAGGGGAGGCTGGGTAGGAGGGAAAGAGTGACAGGAGTGACCGACCACGAGTCATTGTACACATGAGTGGACATGTTAGATTGCAACTCCCTTGTACAATTATTTGAAGGTAAAAATAAATATAATAAATGTGTTCCTTTATCAGACTCCGATCATTTCAAGTAAGAGGTACACATTTTTAGTACATGACCAGATACTCCCTGTGATCAACAGACAATGAATATCCAGAGGGACAATTTATCAAAATGAAAGTCACCAAAATTTGTAAGCAGTCTGGATTCATGTTTATTGAAGCCAGTAATTAGAGACATCTTTTTTTTTTTTCCAGCACTAGAAAGCAATTCCACATGACTGCATACTATGCCCGAGAGAGCCACACCCCTTGGACTAAGGCTGGTGGGGAATCTTCTGCAGTCCTAATTTCAAGTTAAAAACATCAATGAACTTAGCATAGAGACAACAGTGAACTTCACTTACAGAATCAACATTGTTAAGGTCATGATGTACAGAGCAGTCACCTTCAACTTCATTAAACTAATAAAACACAATGTCTTTAGTTTAAATACTGACTTTAAAATGCCAATCAAAAAAGTGCAAACAAAAACAAAATAACTTAGCAGCAAAACTGTTGCATTTTTAGGAGAGACCAATTCATGGCCCTTACTTGGGCCACTTCTTCAAGGCTGGGCTTATTTTCTTTTGAGTTTTCTATTTTAAAGACAAACAGCAGATGTAACCACTATAATGTGGATAAATAGTAACAAAATTTTCTTTAACAGTCTACCATACAAATGTATTCTGCAAATAAAACAAATTTTACTTAAAAAAGTAAAGGCTGTTTATTATTTGGCCTTTGGTTCCAATGCTTGAAAGTCTCTAAAATAACAAAAATTAATTCCCCTTCTCCCTCCCTCCCCCCCCCCCAAAAAAAAGAACCTGGAAGTTCCCAAAGGCTGGTTGACTTTGGCAACCACTGAGCACATGACATTTTGTGTCAGTTTCTTCTGACACCAGAAGCATCTACCTGTCATGAGAATAAAAGTCATCTCCAAGAAACCTCCCTTTGTAAGACTGTGTCTTAGCACTTCATCAGTTCTAGTACATTTTATATTGACACAAAAAGTGCTTATCAGTACAAAGGATAAAAAACAAAATTTTGCATTAAAAGTTTAAACCATACTCTATTGCCTTAGGTATGTGACTTTCCAAGAATCCCTTCTTTGTGAGGTCATTCATTTTGCTCCAGGTTCAATGAAAGGATTAAGTGATCCCACCTACTGTGTGGACACAAACCATCTGGCATCCACTGGCCACATCACCACAACTTCATTCCACAGTTTACTGTCACCATCACCTAAGTAACCCAGTAACTGAAAGTTAACCCAGTAATTGAAAGTTCAACACGTTTTGAGAAAAATATAACTGAAAAAGGAAAAAAAAAATAAAGTATTTCAACAATAAATCTGGCACAAGAAACATTTTTTTTTTTTGCTAGAAAGGTAAATAAATACTCAGCTTTCTCATTAACAGTGTTCAGACCTTTATAGAAGCAATGCAAGCAAGACTGTTTAGGAGTCTTGTTATATAACATGTAAGTTATGCCCAGTACTAAATTAGTGGTTATTGGGATCTGGTATGCAAAAGGAAGGACATTAGGGAGGTTATGCTGGGACATGGTACAACAAACAGTCATATAAAAAGTAAACTCCACATAACTGAACTGTGGTTTTTTTTCCCCTTGGTTTGACAACATATGTTTTATACATTAAATTCAGGGTAGTGTTTGCATTTACATGCTCTGTGTCATGTATATAAAATTAAAAGTGCCATTTCGAATCCACAGAAGTCATTCCCAGAGTGGTGGTGTGACATGACATGAATATGCCCTAAATGGGAGATGCCTGAAACTCATTTCCCTAAGGAAAAAAAAGCTGTATCTTAGGAAAACATAGAAGAAATCTATCACTTTCATTTTCAATATAAACCATCACACTTGTCTACCTGACAGCACTGATCAGACCAGGGAGCTAGGACACAACCCTTTTGCATCAGTGGAACTCCTTGAGGGTTTCCACAGACTGTAAGGCAGGGATTGGTACAAGCCAATTAACCAGAATGTAATGACGCCAACTTTCTGTAGCACATTGCACCATGGTAGAATGAGAGGTTCATTACCCATTTTCTATCAGTAGGCCAGCCTATGGTCATAATAATAATAATAGTAATAAAAAATTTAACTTAAAAAAAACAAAGCAGGAGCTAGTTAGACAACACAAAGCAAACTAATTTTGTATCTGTTGACGTTGAACATAGCCCACAGCAACTGCCTGCCCCAGACTGCACACCTGTGGGCCAGCCTCTCCCCAAGGACGTGGCCTGGGCCAAGTAGGGGTGTCTCAGCAGCCATCTTCCCCACTCAGGTTGGCTCCACTTGACTCAGGCATCCCATACTTAATATACTTTCCAAAAGTTAAGCTTGCATTAGAACAAGTCTAAATCCCATTTTGCTTAGTGCTTAGTTTGGAAATGCTTCTAATTTTGTCTTACACAATGATTATTCAACTTCTATCGAAGACAGTACTTCTTATCATCCCGCCCATCTCCTCTTTCCTCACCTGCCTCAACGTTCAGCTTCCCCACCATCACCTCTCTCACTCTTCCTCAAAAATCTTCTCTTGCCTGGACTTTCTGCTACATAATCTGCTTCCCAAGAACAAGGGAATTTACTAACCGGCAACCTGGTCAAACCACTATCCCATCAATGATTTTCCTGGCTTGTTTGCTCCACCCTCAGAGAAATTGGGCCCCCTTTCTCTGCTCTGCTTAGGAAGCCCAGCTGAGCTTGCTTCTCATGAGAGCCACATGCCCAAGAGTCCAAGGGTCATCCTTAACAAAGGGTCTGACATGTGCCCTTCCTAAATGTGCATTTCACAGTTGGACAAGCCAATGAAGTTTTTGTTTTTGTTTTTTAAAATTCATCTCCCCTACCCCAAAAAACTGATAGCATGTGCCATATCAGAAAAATTCTGGTCTTAGCAGATCAATATACATAGTTATTTGGTCATTTGACATTTTTTTTTTTTAAAGGAGGATCAAGCTTCATTTTCTGTTGAAGAGTTTGTTACCATGGAGTCTGGTTTTCGAGTCATTCTATCCAGTTCTTCCTGAACATTTGACAACACAGTCTTTTGTCCTTAAAAAAAAAAGGGGGGGAGGGAGCAAAGCAGCAATGTGAGAAAAGAATTAAAAAAGAAATAGTTAAAACCATAGGTTTCTGTAATCATCTATAATGATAGTAATCTAAAAAATAAAAAGTTTTTTCCTCCTAGGATCTCGAGATAGATCCCGACTTAGTCCTTCTCACCGCAAATGTCATAGGTCTGTGCTTCCTCAACTACACAACTATCTTGGTAGGGCACAGGATGCCTTTGTGCCAAACAACAGGGCCTGTCTGCAAACCCTCTCATCCTCCAGTCCCAGCCCTATGCACTCTCACCAACTCCCTGGAGGTGTTCATGAGTTTCAGGCATGCAGCAAACACTTTCTCTGGCTGAAACAGACAGGTGTTCAGGTTTTGTTTCTAATTACAACACTCCAGACTGACTCGTAGAAATACCATTTTCAGTAAGAGGAGACCAAAGCCAGATCATTAGGTCCTGCACAGAGTTGGGAATCCTATTTCTCTGTTGGCAAACACTAACAGGGAGTGGAAAATGACTCCTATTTCTAGTAAGAGAATCATACTAGGACACCACCAGGCCACCAAATCAGACTTTATGTCTTTAAGAATTTGGTTGCTACTAGAGCTCAAGTTGTCTTGTAAGGTGATTTCCTAAGAGCCTCATCTACTCAAGAAATAGCAATTAGGGAAAACACTGTATTACCATACCTTATAGCCAATGGAACACTAAAAACAAAGCTACTGCTTACCTAGCATGCACAGGGCCATGGGTTTGGTCCCTAGCACTATAAAAATAAAACTTCTTCCAGCTTCCTAAGAAAATGTGCAATTCCTAAGGAACTTGTTTCTTTTGTTTCAGAGGCTTCCACAACAGACTTGGCCCACCAGCCACCATGGAAGGACAGGTGGGTGAACTGCCATAGAATGTAACAAGCAAGGAGTTCATGGAGGAGGAGAGAATGCTCTCCAATGAGACAGTACAAAATCCCTTTAAAGCATCACATAAAGTTAAGTAGGATAAATAAAATGTCAATGGTATACTCTAGACCATGACTTCTAGTGGAGAGAGTTTCCAGACCGTCACCACATGTATGACTTCAGCCATACCTTGACTTACCCAATAGCCTGAATGTACATTAAGTCCCACTTTAAATGTGCCAAGGAAAACCTGCATGGTTATAAGGCAACCCCACGGAAAGCGCAGTACACTGCTCAGTCTAAAGTACAGATCTGCTTCCTTTCGTAGTTGTTCAGAACACTGAGCGTCTGCAGGTCAGATGAAGGCACGCACTCCTGTCTGCCTCCCCATTTTCTTAGCACTGCTCAGTCATGAGGGTCCTAAGTCTCCGAAGGCCCCTCTGTACCTGACTTCTTGGCTGTGCTCTGCACCCCACCAGCACCAGGGCTTCCAGGAGAGCCTGTTTTCTTACTCAACAGACTATTGAAGAAGCTGGCCAACACTCCTTCACTTGCTGCATTATCTAAGGAAACAGTAAGGGAAAAAAAAGACATCATCCAAACTGGACTACTTCAAACAAGTACTTCTCATCCTGGAATTAGCTGTTTGTGGCTTTCACCTTTCTAGGTTACCCATTACAACACTCATTTACTATGATTCCTTCCACATCACCATGCTGAGGCTTGTGAATGTAGTGACACTATTAATTGGAAACACATTTACAACATTTCCCACCTAACAAGGCATAAATAATCAGTATTCCACACTGCCTCCAAGTATTTGGGGCAAGGTTTTTCAAAGCTGTACAAGCCCTCCACACTCACAGCCCATATGAAAAGCTCATCTGCTAAGTTGAAGATGCCCAAATTTTGTTTTGATGATCTTACTGCAGCCAGTATTCTTGATAATCCAATACGGTGCTGGTATAACCACTGCTTAAATAATTTAGCTTAATAAGAGCTATGGCAGAGAAAAAGATTCTCCTAATTTGTAAGTAGTAATAATATAAACTAAAGAGTCAAGATTTACATTTTAAGATAACTTTCTATTTCATATTCTTTTCTCAAGAATCTGAACTTCTATACCAAGTAAGTACATTAGGCCACCAATTCCAATGTAGTAAAAGGCTCTGGTGTGGTCTCTGCCAGCAGAATCTCTTCCTCTGGGAAAAGGTAGTGTAGTAAGCAGTCCATTCCCTTTCTTTGGGAAAGGGAATAGACCCAGCTTTTCTAGATCTCCACTTGAAAGACCCAGCCGCTCCTGAAAGGCTCAGGCCTAGGACTAAATTCTGCCCCGGAACAACATACATACTTTTGATGTTTGGGTCCGGCTTCTTTACTGACGTGCCTGGGGAGGCACTGGGGACACTGGCTGGCCCACCCCGGCCCTGGGTTCTCGGAGAGCCAGAGGGTCCTCTTGCAGGGGATTCCTAAGTCCAAAACCAGCCCAGGTCACACAAACACACATAAAAAATAACAGAAATAAAAATTCAAAAAATGAAGACATACTAATGCAAGATATATTCCAAGTCTAGGGTACAAGATTGGGAACATGCTTATTAGCTCAGTTCCTTCCTAGACCTCAGTTTCTCCTAAAAGAAGAACTGACAAGGTAACAAAGCAGCTTATTTTACGCAGATGTAGTCTTTCATTAAACATTTCTTGAGATTCTATTAGGTTCCTGGCCATGGGCCTTCAGGGAAACCAACTACCTTTGAAATAGGAAAGCCCACACAAATATAGCTAAAACAAGTGATGGCATACGTTTGACCCTGTTTGACGTATGGTACTCACGGAGGCTCTCGTGGGTGTGGCAGGCTGCTTGGCAAGGAGTGACTGCAAAGAGAGGGACAAACTGACCATTAACCAAGGCCTGCAGAGATCTGAGTTCTGGAAAAAGAATCTTACTCCTAGTACTCCACTAGAGGGTGCCATTAACAACCAAGTTTCATTTTATACTATAAATGCAAAATATTCTTACTCTAGTAGTTTGATATATGGTGAAAAAGATACTCCATGTTTAAAGCTAAGGAAACAAACAGGGCACAGAAAGGAGGAAGAGTTGAGGAGGGGAGGGAACTGTCAAAACTTCCCATAATGAGTCTATAAACTCATGACATACATAGTCTGGAAGAGAGAAATTTTAAGACTGGGTTTGTGTTGAGAAGTGACAGCTTGGGAAAGCTACTCTCCTCACTGACAAAACAAGTACTACCTGCTTACATGCACTGGACTATGTGGAATTACAGCAGTGAGGCCAGGTCATCAGAAACCTGAAATTTCTAGTGTAAGGGCACTTAAAAAGATCCGAAGCTATCCTTGAAGGAACATGGGCAAAGTAGGCAGGCAAGTATCTAAAGAGAGGCAGGTGCTTTAATCGTACCAGTTCTAGGAAAAGCTTGTAAAGCTTCAAGCTCTCTGAGTCCCCACATGCAGACAGCCCCAACCCCACTGGGAACTGGCATTCCATGCATGAGGAGGCTTCTGTTTCAATCCCATTGGTCATCTTACCTGTTGCTTCATTAGGAACACCTGCTCATCTTCTGCTGCCAACTCTTTGTCATGGACCAGCTGTGAAGTAACACACACACTTGTGGCCACAGGCCAAGAAGACTTCCAAGCTACTATATGCTCCAAGGAGATTCTTAGTTTGGGCCTGCATACAGTTCTAGGGACTTGTTCTTGAGAGTGTGGTTACATTTTTCTAGCCTAGCACAGACCATCTCCCAAAACTTATTATGGCATGCAGCCAACTGAAACTTTAAAAATCTTAACAGGTCCTCAGTAACACCTCTCAGATCAATCTGCAGGAGATCCTAGAGAGAGGGGATCTAACAAATCCAAAAATGATGACAGCACTGTGGACTATGCTGGATGCTACATGGCTCCTTGTAAGAATGCCAGCACTCACACTCCTCACCCTGTGCCAGACGTGACTTAAAGTCTAAAAAAAAAGACCCTTGGATAATTTTTTTTTCAAAGTAAATAATGTAAGATAAGCAAACAAGTTTAAGGCCCTGAGTTCAGGCCCTACCACTAAAGTGAAAGACCTAGTTCTTTACAGGTTTCCATTAGGGGAAAACAAACAAACAAACAACACCTAAAGTAGGTGGCACTATTAGCTACATGGGAAGCCAAGAATGGGAGGACTACAGGGTTTAAGAGGCCAGCCCGGGTAGAAAACTTCTTGAACTCTTATGCTTTTCAACCAACAGCTGGTGTGATGGCATGCACCTGTCATTCTAAATTACGTGGGAGGCTGAGATTGGGAGGCTCAAGGTTCCAGGCCAGCCAGAACAGAAAGCTCACAAGACATCAACTCAACAGAAAGAAGGTAGGTATGATGGTGAGTGCCTGTCATCCCAGCTACATACAAAGGGAAGCCTAAAGTAGGCTGTTCACAGTGCAGAGGCACCTACTCAGGAAGCAAGACTAAATCTCAACAATAATCTGCACATAAAAAGAGCTGAGAGCCTGGCTCAAAAGGTAGAGCCATGAGGCAGGCATGAGGCCTTGTACTCCTCCCAGTATTACTCCTCACCCAACATACCTTTCTCACTGGAGGTTTCACAATAAAGTCTTCATATGTATCTTCTGGCTTCACAGTTGTGAAGTTTTCATGCAAAATAGCTATTTTCTTTTCATTGTCCCAGCCTGCAGGTCTAAAGGCAAAAAAGGAGATTAACTTGCTTTTTCTTAAACTAACCTTCCAGTACACTTAGTCTACTTCAGATTGTAAAGGATTCCTGGGTCAGGTTCTTTCTCAGAGATCTAGTATGTATCTGTTGGAATGGATCGCCACTTTGGCACATAAGCCAAATGCTAAATCCATTTATTAGCATAATAAGTCTTATTTCATATAGAGCTCAGGGACTTCTAGGGCCCTAAGGAGTCAGTATGAGACTATATACTGCCCTGCTGGAAGTGTTCAGTTTCCTCCCACAACTCCACTTAAAAAAGCCAGAGCACAATGGAGTTCTGTTTTGAGAGGAACAAGAAGAACAACACCAAGGACAGAACTTGGCAGGGGCCTGCTGCTGTTTGGCTTTGGCCTGGGGGCTCCCCTCTTGTCTCTGAGAACTCTTCTAACAACAGTTATCTTATGTATTGGTTCATTACTTCTTTTAGTGTGGAAAGATGTGTCCTGGAGTGAAGGGCAACCACCTGCACACCACAGATACAAGGAGGCCTATAGACTCCTATAGGGGTGCTTGAGGATTCAACATCTACTAATGTTCAGCTAGTGTTCAACTTGATTCCCTTAAAGCTAGCAATTGTACACAATTGTGGCACACTTTTGAACTCAAGATCCTCAGAAAGATAGTAATTGACTGTTGTCACAAGTCTTTCACATACAACTTCCAGTCCACAGCTCCAAAGACAATAGGATAGCTAGGCGCCAGTGGCTTCCACCTGTAATCCTACTCAGGAGGCTGAGATCTGAGGATCAAGGTTCAAAGTCAGCCTGTGCAGGAAAGTCCATGAGACTCTACCTCCAATTAACCGTCAGAAAACTGGAAGTGGTACTGTGGCTCAAGTGGTAGAGTGCTCACCTTGAGCTGAAGAGCTCAGGGACAATGCATAGGCCCAGAGTTCAAGCCTCACGACTAACAAAAAACAAACAAACAAACAAAAACCCCAAAACACAAAAACCACAAGTGGTACTGTGGCTCAAAAGGCTCAGCAACAGTAGCCAGGCCTGGAGTTCAAGCCCCACAACAACAAAAAAAGACAACAGGGTGTACAACCAGCATGCTTCCCCCAAATGGCCTGATGCATCATCCTCATGTAGGCAACTACTAAAAGACCCAAAGGTACAAAGGACAGGGCATCATTGAGATACTGCCGTAAGTCTTGATGCCCTCAGAATCCCAAAGATGCTTTTCCATTCCAGCTAAGTCTTAAATTCAACCAGGTGCCCTGCTCCTTCTGCTCTTCAAAATCCCACTGATGTGAGCAGTAAATGATTTCAAAAGCACAGTACTCACTGAGCTTGTGCACCTGGCTGCTTGCTTGCCTGCCCTGGGTGATTCTCCAAAGCAGGTATGAGTTGCCTGAGGGAAGCTCTTCTCTAATCTGCCAAAGGTAACCTATTCTGTTTCAGTGTGTGTGTGGGGGGTGTCTCATATTTCTAACCTCTCAGACTTCCCCATCTCACTCTTTAGGTCTGCCTGAGATCCAAGCATCTTTCAGTATCACATTCTTTGTCGTTCCTATTGCTTTTACTCTTTTTGCTCTCTGGGTCTCTGTAGCAGAGACCACATCTCATTCAGTTCTGTGTTCCCAGCAGAATACCTGAGTACCTCAGGTGAGCCGAGTATGGCTTGCTGAATAGAGAAATGTAATTGTGAAGTACTCTCCCAGACCAGCATCATCACTTATTTATGTATTCAGCAACATGATTCTCTAGAAAGAGAAACCAATGCCAGAAAACAGGTATCCAAAGTCTCTGACAGGACAATCAACCGAAGTGGCTTCCTAAATGTGAAATGCCACTAATAAAAGTATTTAGAACAGCCAAAACCCATATTGACTGGAATGGCAGGAGGATGCTTGGCATCATTGTGTAGAGCGGCCAGAAACACAAGATCCCCAAAATGAAATCTGTTGTACTTCAAAACTCTCCCAGCCAGTACTTCACCAGTTGCTATTAAGTGCCCAACAACTTGCTACTATTTTAAAACTTGCTCTCAATGACCATGCCACCCACTGACAGGCAGAATATTCTTCAATCCAGAAGCAGAGAGAAAGCTGTGTTATCTCCTCTGAGGTCCAGCCTGAGCTGAGGTCCAGCCTGAGCTGAGCCCCAGGAGAGCAGGAGAACTGACTGCACAAAGCAGACAGAAGGTTCACTGGGAAGGGCAAGACACAAATAGTAAATGTACTTTGTAAAAAGAAGAACTCACATAAAAACGGCATCCTTCTCCACAACTAAGGCAGGTGTGGTAAAGTGGAAACCATATGTTTTATGAACAATGTACTTATACAACAAGTCGAGGTTTTTCTCTTCCTTCACTGAGGTGTAAATCAAGGCAGCTCCATCTAATCAATCTGTTTAAGGAAAACCAATCAACTGCCAAAGACAAAATCAATCCATCATATATAAGTACCATTCTTAAATATTATTAAAAGGTCAATATAATTTTTAATGAATATATGAGTAACAAAGTATCAAAAATTTAAAAACTAAAGCTAGGCACAGATGGCTCATGCCTGGAATCCTAGCTACTTAGGAGGCTGAGATCTGATGATCCAAGTTGAAAGCCAGCACAGGCAGGAAAGTCTATGAGACTCTTATTTCCAGTGAACTACCAAAGAGCCAGAAGTAGACTCAGTTTGCAGAGCATCACCCTTGTGAAAGAAGCTAAGGGGTAGTCTCCAGGCTTGATTCCAAGCCCCAGGACCAGCACACCTAAAAACTTAAAAAGGCAATGAACCAAGTCAAAAAAGCATAGAAGTATACTGTTAGTAGGCCATACAGTTGTTGGCTTATTAACACATAAACTATGGTCCTGATCCCTTGGGCTCTTCCTAAGAAGCAACATTAGTGGTTCTGGAGAAAGCTGGGGAAGTATTCTCAGCCTATCAGGGCTGAGGAGTCTTTCCCAGCCTCACAGCGAACAGGTTTGTGCCAAGTAAAGGGCCTATCTCCTACTATGTTGTGGAAATATGGTACCAATTGCTGTTGGATTTAAAAAAAAAAAACAAGATTGAAGAGACTATTGACACAGTATCTCTCTCATGGGTAGCACAAAGGGGAGGGGGACATCTATAGCACTAAACCAAGAGTCAAACTGGTAACTAAACCTTTCTGAATAAAAGTGAAGTCTAAAAAGATTTCTGAGCATGATAAAACTGTCAATAAAATTACATCACCACTTTTTAGTATAAACACTTCTTAGTATATGTAGACATATACTAAATAGTGACCAAAGATAAAGGTAAGTTAATAAGCCTTAAGTTCCAGCAAGCAATTTCTCCCTGGAAGACTATACTCTGGGTTTGAAGGGACTTTCAAGAGGCCTCATTTGGAGGGAAGCCATGCCCCTACGCCCAACAAAGGATACACTGGAGGCAGAACCTCCGTAGGTGCGACTGGATGAAGTCCAAGTGCTCATCCCGATAATCATGCTCCTTCTCCAGGATACTCACTGCATCACACTGCAGAGACAAAACAAAGAGAGCAGTCATCTTTCTATTTCTCTGCCTGCTTCAGAAATAAAAGTAACTCCAAAGAAGAAAGCCATTGGCAAAGTTGCAAATATTAGAGAAAAATAAAACATGTATTTCTTTCATCCCACCCCTCAATTTCTTTATTATAAAGTGCAGATATAAAATGCCTGATCACCTAAGTTGTTGTGTCCAATAAGGTTGCATTGGATGTGCATGGCACTCAAGTGCTTGTCAAGAATAGGACGAGAGCTGGGCCCTGGTGGCTCATGCCTGTAATCCTAGCTACTCAGGAGGCTGAGATCTGAGGGTCACGATTCAAAGCCAGCCCAGGCAGGAAAGTCCGTGAGACTCTTATCTCCAATAAAGCACTCAAAAACCTGAAGTGTTGCTGTGGCTCAAGCAGTAGAGTGCTCACCTTGAGCTGAGGAGCACAGGGACAGCGCCCAGGCCCAGAGTTCAAGCCCTACGACCGACCAAAACAAAGAGAACAGGACAGGACAAGAGATGGTATTGCCCATAATTAGGTTAGGTAATAGGGTGACTCTCAATAAGAAAGAGTACTTTTGAAGCCCAATGTTGTTCTGATTTTTGTGCCAGTCCTCCAGAGACTGGGCACTAACTCTAAGCTTTTTTGCTTAAGGTTAGTGCTCTACCACTTAATTAGGAATAAGAGTCTCATGGACTTTACTGCCAGAAGTGGCTTTTGAATTGCTATCTTCAGATCTCAGCCTCTTGAGGAGTTGGGATCACAGGCAGGAGTTGCCAGAACCCAGGTACCTAATATGTTTGTTTTTTTGCCAGTCCTGGGGCTTGAACTCAGGGCCTGGTTGCTGTCCCTGAGCTTTTTCACTCGAGACTAGCACTCTAATACTTTGAGCTACAGCATCATCTCCAGTTTTTCAGCAGTTAACTGGAAATAAGAGTTGTATGGACTTTCTTGCCAGGCTGGCTTTGAACTGTGATTATAAAATCTCAGCTTCCTGAGTAGGATTACAGGTATGAGTTACCAATGCCAGCTCCAGTGTGTTTTGTTTTGTTCACCTAAGTTTTGATCACCTAAGTTGTTGTGTCCAACAAGGTTGCATTGGATTAGTCCACTGTACATGGCTGTGCATGGCATTCAAGCGGTTGTCAAGAACAAGACAGTCATGGGCTTGAACTAAGGGCCTGGGTGCTGTCCCTGAGCTTTTTCACTCAAAGCTAATGCTCTACCACTTTAAGCCTCTACCACTTTAAGCTAACGCTCTACCCCTTTAAGCTGGCTTCGAATTATGATCCTCAGATCTCAGCCTCCTGAGTAGTTAGAATTACAGGCATGAGCCACCAGTGCCTGGCTTTCCAAAAAAATTTTTTTTGCCAGTCCTGGGGATTGAACTTAGGGCCTGAACACTGTCCTTGAGCTTCTTTTGCTCAAGGCTAGCACTCAACCCCTTGAGCCACAGTACCACTTGCAATTGAACCCAGGGCTTCATGCATGCTAGGCAAGCACTCTACCACTAAGCCACCTTCTCAGCCCATCCAAAATGTTTTTAAAGCTCCTTTTTTCCTTATGTAAGATACACACTTAATTGTTCAATTCTGACTATTTTTTCACCACTGGTTTAGACCAGATGAAGTGACTGAAGAAAACTACTTTTAGTTGAGTTTGTCCATTAAGTCAAAGGTACACCACAGGGATCAACCCAGGTTACAAATGAACCAACATCACGTTTCCAACAGTAGTAGTAAGAAACAATTTGGTCTATCATGAACTTACTCACTCTACTTTAGTAAATACCAAATAAGACCAATCCTCCCTTGGGAGGAAACCTCATCTCAGATATTCTTTCAGATGGTGATTGTTCACTACCAAACCCAGCCAAACTTACAATTCCTTGGACACACCTTTGTGCACACCACCAACACTGGGATCCCCAGGTTATGAGTCAGCACATTGTCACCCAGAGGCAAGGCAACATTTTCTTCTTCCGAGCCTGAGTTCAGAGGCCCTCTTCTCTGTGGGGAACCCTGACAACCTTCTTCAGGCTCAATATAGTCTTGAAAGTCTTTCATAACTACCAGGAAAAGAAAAAAATATATACACATATAAATAAAAATACATATTAGCTTCAAAAAACTGAAAAAGTTACCAAACAAGCACAAAACATAAGCAGTCTTGTGTGACAAGCTTCCTAGTCACCCATGACTGTAGTTAGGGAGCTGGGGAAGGTGGTACTGCAGAGGTTTAGCCCACCTGTGCTCCCTTTAGCATTAGAGCAGTGGGTATTAGAAAGAGGTTCCAAGTTGTCTACCTTGCTGCTGCTGTTTATCTTTTCCTCCCACCTCACCAACCATCCACTGGATCCACAGTCCTAAGACTCCACAGGCTCCTATAAACAAAAGAAGCCCTAGACATGAATCAGGCAAGCCTAATCTCCAAATAAGTATCACTTTCTGGCAGCCCTAGTGGTTGCTCTCCCTCTCACTCAGATAGTTCCTGCAGCCAAAGAGCTATCATATCCTGGACCACTGAGAAATCTAACTTAGAAAGGCTGGCCAAGGACTAGCTTTCCAAATTCAGCAGGCTAGAGACTAGTTAGATAATGACCCTTCACCCAAGAGTCTATTAATCTGGAAACCAGGAGTCTCCTGAGGAAGAGAGTCAACTACTTTATTGAAAGTAGCTTACACCAGCACCAACAAAGGAACTCCTTCAACAGACAAGCACAAGACTACCATTACAAACATCTCAGACAAAGGATGGTAAAAGCAGAGGCCCCCAGAAGGGTAACCTGAGTCAAGAAATACAGACATGTTTCAAGCATTTGCTTGAGGTTCTCCAATGTTTTCTCTTGTCTTCCTCATCCTATTTGAACAGAACCCTACTAAAAAATACAGCCACACAGACTAAAGACTACATTTCCCATCCTCCTTAAGAGACAGCTGGCATGTACCCTTCAACACTTACTTCCTCTTCATCATCCTGCCGCCTAGAACTTAGATGTAAGGCTACAGCTCTGTTGCTGCTGTAAGAGAACCACACCCAACAAATGACAGAGCAATAAACACAAAGAAGCCACAGTCTCTGAGATGCCTTCCCAGTTTCAAACTAACTACCTATAGATTTCATTTTCAGGAGAAATGAAACTCAGATTCATTTAAGACACCTCTGTCTTTGATTTTGTGTTGCATGCAGCAGAATCTAGTCCTAAGTCACACAGACATCAGTGACTAAGATTACAAAATAAATTCAGTATCTCATGTCATAAGCTGCCCAAGAGCAGCTTGACATGAGATGTTGAATTTATGCTGTATGCTATATCCCCAATAGTTAGAACAGTTCGAGAACTTCTGGTGTATGTGTTTGTGTGTGTGCGCGTGCATGCATGTATATGCACACACACTGGTCCTGGTGCTTGAAACTCAGGGCCTGGGTGCTGTCCCTGAGGCTTTTGTGCTCAAGGCTACCACTTGAGTCACAGCTCACTTCTGGCTTTTTTACTTGAAGGTAGGGCTGGCTTCAAACAACAATCCTCAAATCTCAGTTCCTCAGTAGCTAGAATTACAGGCATGAGCCACCAGCATCTGGCTCAATTTTGCTCTTTTCAATACTTTAACAATCTTTCCAAGGCTATCACTCTAAGTATAAACAGAGATAAAGTCTCCAGTGTATTAGCTCACTAGTCTGGACATGAAACTATGTGTAGCTCAGAACTATTCTGAGTCCTCTTTAAGGTCTCTATTTCAGAGGAAAAAGAAGCATTATGTAGAAAGGTCAGTGGCTGAACAAAGATGAGGTGAACTGCATAACAATCACTGTAGCTCACAAGACAGACTCAGGAACCACACAGGCCATAACCCAAACAATGAGATGTTAAATGCCCTGTTTTAGCTAATGTGGGACAGACCTGTATAGGACAGAAAGACATAACAGTAGGTCATTTAAATTGAAAAGCATATCAAAATTTCAGACCCCTTCTGCCAGTAAGTGTGCCATGCCCCAGAACCCTCAGCAGTTCACTAAAGGGGGTGAGGTCATCCTATGGAACTAAGCCAGAACCCGCCCAGCCTGGCCTGGCCAAGATGATTGCTGCTTATACTGCTGCTCTATTCCCTATCCCTCCCATTTTCTTGGCAAAGGGACAGAAGCTGATGTAACTTCACAGAAGCAAGGGAAAGGAAAAACAAGCTTCTGAATCACAGTAAAAAAATAAAAAAAACCAACAATAACAACAAACCACTTCCAAGGAAACTTCCTTTGACAATTGTTTCCAAAAGGACTAAGATTATCTTTAGTCTTAATATAGCTTCTCACCGAATAACCTATTCCCCCAAGTGGCCTTCCTATTTCTGACTATAATCATATTTGTTCAACTCCAAAATGAAGGAAGGAGCTGAAAGCTTCACCTTTTTTCTTTAAACACCATTTGTCCTAGGGTTTGAACTCAGGGCCTTGCACTTGCTCGTATGCTTGTTCAAGTGGTACTCTACCAACTTCAGCCACTCCTCCAGCTGGGCTTTTTGATGTAATTGGAGTCTTACAGACTTTTCTGCCTGGGCTGACTATGAACTCTGATCCTCCAATTCTCAGACTGATTAGCCAGGATTTTAGGTATATGTCACTGATAGCTGGCAAGAGCCATCTTTTTGAGGATTTCCATTAAACCTGCCAATGGTGAAAGTGGAGGAGGTGTAATTCAGGAGCACCAGCTTTGAGTGAGAAAACAAAAAATAAGCCATGTGAGAGCAGAGGACCAAGCTCAAGCCCAATTACTAGTACAATAAACAAATGAACTAATGAACTAGTGCTTTAAAAAAAAAAATTCCAACACGAGGAGACATGAGGCCTTCATGGAATTCTGGGATTATAAAATGCTCCCAAAGATGGGTACTAGTCCTCAGTTGGTAGCACTATTGAGAAGTGAGTGGATTTTGAGGGTGCTAAACTCAAATGAACTAATCCACCAGCCTGCTCCTACCTGAATGGCTATTAGGAGGTCGGACCTACCTGAAAGAAGCAAGTCACTGAGGGGGCATGCCTTTAAGGGATGAATCATCTTCAGATGCTGCCTACTCTCTTGCTTCTTCCTGGTTGCCATGAGTGGAGCAGCTTTCTTCCACCATGCCCTTCTACCAAGATGCAATAACTCACCCAAGACCCAAAAACTAACAAGTGGGCACAACCTGAAACTAAGCAAAAATAAACCTTTCCTTTTTTTTTTTTTGTCAGTTATGGGGCTTGAACTCTGGTCTGACTCTCCACTCTTTGGCTCAAGGCTAGTGCTCTACCACTTAAGCCACTGCATCACTTCCGTTTCCGGAGTGGTTTATTGGAGGTAAGAGTCTCACACTTTCCTGCCTGGGCTGGCTTTGAACCATGATCCTCAGATCTCAGCCTCCTGAGTAGCTAGAATGACAGGCAGGAGCCACCGGCACCAGGCTATTTTTTTTTTCCCCAATGATATTGGAGACTGAGCTCAGGGTTTCACACTTGCTAGGTAGGCGCTCTACCACTTGAGCCAACCTGTCAGCCTTTTTGCATAGGCTAATTTCAAGATACAGTCTCACTTTATGCCTGGGCAGACATAACACTTTCCCATATTACTGGGAACAACAGGCACTTCTCACTATGCCCAGCCATTGTGTTGCTCCTGAAGCTGGATAAGTACACACTTTGCTCAGCAAAGTTGAAATGGGGGGGGGGGTCTCATGAATTATTTTTGCCTAGGCTTGCCTCAATTCTTGATCCCCTCATCTCTGACTCCACAGTGCCTTTCTACCTTTAAATTGTTTCTCTCAGGTATTTTGTCACAGCAATAACAAGCTAAAAGACTACAACAAACCCCTACATCCTGATGCTAACTAACTCAGCAGACAGGAAAATGACAGAAAAGTCTGGAGACCCACAGAACGGATCACCTCTTAGGAAGTGAGAGAACTTTCACATTAAAACAGAACTAATGAGAATAAAGAGTATTGATTAATTTTCAATAACTATGAAACTTGAGATAACACTGCTTTGAAAACTTTTTGCAACTCTGAAATACTGAAAAATAAATTACAAACTCTATACAAAGGGAAGCCTCTTTTTTTTTTTTTTTTTGGTCAGTTGTGGGGCCTGAACTCTGGGCCTGGGTGCTATCCCTCAGCTCTTCAGCTCAAGGCTAGCACTCTACCACTTTGAGCCACAGCACCACTTCCAGGTTTTTCTAGTTACTGAACTCTGGGCCTGGGCGCTATCCCTCAGCTCTTCAGCTCAAGGCTAGCACTCTACCACTTTGAGCCACAGCACCACTTCCAGGTTTTTCTACTTATGTGATGCTAAAGAATTGAACCCAGGGCCTCATGCATGCAAAGCAAGCACTCTACCACTGAGCCACCTTCCCAGCCCAAGAGAAGCCTCTTGACTAAAAAGGAAGGAAGCTCCAACTCTCCAGAGAGAATAGTGAACTTTCCAATGAAAAAAACTGTTTCACTCACACTTCCTTTCCAGCTCCCTCATTTCTTCTGGTGGAATTTTCATTTTATCAATGTGCTCACGTAAAACACTAGCCCACTTCTGTAAAGATTCCATCACAGTCCAAGGCCTAGACATGTCTGCAACAAAAATAACCAGCGTCTCCGGCAAAGATTCAGCAGAAACTGCAAACTTCAGCAGGCCTTTGTGGTATAGATCGCCATCCAAAATCCACACATTGCAGCGTGTATGATCTGAGAAAAGAAATGAATCTCTGTTACCACCCAACAATGGCCACTAGAACAGCCACCAGAACAGCAATAGGAACATTATTGATTACACACAGTATGTATGCACAAATCGTAGCCCAAAAGACCCAAATGGTCACTGGACAGCAATCCTAGGTCCTGGTGCCTGATGAACTCCTCTAGATCTAAAAGTTTTAACTACTATAATACAAGAAGCTTCTACAACTAAGTTTTCAGCAGTATCTAAGGAACAGAGTAACAGTTTAAAAAACCATTGGTCTTACATGCCAACAGTCTATGAAGCAGTGAGCAGTGCTAAAAAGCCTGTGGGTGCTAAAAAGACCTTATTGTGTCAGCCTTATGAAGTAGTACATTCACACACCATGAAGGAGCCCAAGGAACAGGAACCTTTGTATTTAAATGTCAAGATAAAATCATTACTTACATAAATTGAGAAACTAATTGCTGGTTGCCTGGTAGTAGGATTATAGTTATGCTTATTACAATAACATGGTTTTATGTTCTAGTCATGTTCTAGTCTTTCAGTCATACTCATGGAAAGACTCATAGATGAAATGATTAAATGTCTAAAATTTGCTTCAAAATAATCCAGTGTGAAGTAAAGGAAAAGGGTGAAAATACAGTTGAAATAAAATAGACCAAGAGATAGGCACAGTGGAGGATGCCTATGATACCAGCACTTGGGTGGGTGAAATAGGAGAATGGAGAGTTTGAAGCCAGCCTGGGCTATGTAGTAACACCTTGACTTTAAAGAAAAAAAGGGCTAAGAGCTAGTATTTGTTGAAGCCAGGTGGTATGATATACATTATGGCTCATGCGAGTCTCTCTGACATTTTGTGTGTCTTTTACTTCCTACAATAATACAACTTTAAGGTATATACTTGGTAAATTTAAAGAAGAATGTATTCCAAAATCATATGTAGGATGTGAGGGCCATCTGGCTGTGACATCTGTCACCCCACTGATGGCCAGGGTTGATTCGACTGCTCTGGCTGGTGAGGCGGGTGTCCCCTTCCTTCCTCACCGCTCCATGTGCATCCCTCCCAAAGCTGCGCGCTCGGTCCAAGAGGACCACCATCCCTAATAGAGGAGGACCAGTCTTCCGTCAAGGGTATACAAGTAGCTGGCACTCCCCTGCTAGAACCTCCAAACAAGCTCTCAAGGTCCAAAATCATATGTAGATGACTGAACTATAGAAGATAATTGTTCCCAATTGATAGTGTGATTTTAGGAATTTAAGACAGCCTCCTCAGGGGCTGGGAAGGTAGCTCAGTGGTAGAGCGCTTGCCTTGCATGCATGAGGTCCTGGGTTCGATTCCTCAGCACCACATAAGCAAAAAGTAAAAAAAGCTGGAAGTGACACTGTGGCTCAAGTGGTAGAGTGCTAGCCTTGAGCTGAAGAGCTGAGGGACAGCACCCAGGCCCAGAGTTCAGGCCCCATGACTGGAACCAAAAAAAAAAAAAAAAAAGAAGACAGCCTCCTCAAGAACTATTATTTATAAACATATCTTAAGAGAGAACGTGTTATCAAGAATATTAATAATTTCATTACCTTTTCAATAAATTCCAACATACTTTTTAAACCTATCATATATTGGTTAACTTTTTGATATAATCAATTCATTAATATGCTATAAATGCATATTCATGACTTTAACAGCATAAGATATCTAAAATCCAGTTATATTTTCAAGCTCTAAAATAGTTTAGTAGTCTTGGTTTGGGCTTCTGTAAATTTCTTCAAAAATACCACTCAAGAGGTGGGCGCTGGTGGCTCATGCCAGTAATCCTCAGACTGAGGATCATGGTTTAAAGCCAGCCCACCAGGAAAGTCCCTGAGACTCTTATCTCCAACTAACCACTAGAAAACTGGAAGTGGGGCTGTGTTTCAAGTGTAAGAGTGCCTTCAGCCTTGAGCTGAAGAGCTGAGGGACAACTCCCAGGCCAAGAGATTTCAAGTCCCAAGACCAACACTCCCCCCCCCAAAAAGGCACAAGATAAAAAGGTATGAAAGCTATGATCCTCATACCTGACTCATGTCTCTTTTGTCAGTTTACAAAACAGACACCATCATCCACTCTACACATGAAAAAACTGAAGTGTAGGGTAGTTAATTAATTACATCAGTTGTTGCCTAAAGGAGTGGCTTTCTGAACCAGTTCTGTCTGGCTCCAAAGCCCACTTCTTTCCACAATAACCATGATGCCCTACAGAGACAGGAAGTAAGACACCATAATGCAATGCAAATATGAGGTCTTCAAGGTCTGGCTCAGTAGACTGAGTTCCCAGTTCCTCAAGCACAGACTCTAATGGCCCTAAATGGGCTTTTTTATGCCTGATCTTCTGACACAGGACACTCAGCATCAGGTCTTTCTCCTGCCTTTTCAAGTTATTCAGGAAATGTTTAGCAATACAAAGTCAGGAGAAAGAAGCAGGATTAAAATCCCTTAAGTTCTAAAATGAATATGTTAATCATCATTAATACCAGTTTCCAAGCCAAAAAGCTCTTATAGATGTTCTAGAAAGAACCTTGATTAAGCTTCTTCAATTTAGCAATAAGGAAATGGGGTATCCATGGGGTAGGATTAACTCTCCTTTACATAATAACTCTCACATCATGACCCTCAGTATTTAAGTGTGCTAAGGCAAATATAAATAATAGTTTAAGCAATATATTTTCATCTTATGCTAAAAAGATAACTTTTACATACACAAAAGACCTAAATACCAATAATTTTAGTCATTAAAAGCTACAAAGCCTAACAGATTATAAAGGAAGCATTACAGAGTAGTTGTAACTGAAATTTATTATTACATCCTTCTCGAAAAATTATTTCAAAATTATATCTAATCCTTGTATTAATCTTGCTTTTAATCATCCTGCCATACACAAATGGTAGAAACACTAACTTATTCACAGGGGAACATTATCATTGCTGGAGTCTCTATTCTGTCCACCAGAAAGAAAACAGAATATGCACATTTCTAAACAGTTACACAGACTCAAGAAACCGTCCGGTGAATGCTTAAAATGGTTATATTGTAAATTATATCAATTTCAGATTCTTCAGTAGAATCAGGTGGAGTAGCAATGGTGGATGACAATCATAGAACTCCAAACCTTCAGAAATCCTTTTTATTGCGTTTATGTGAATGTGAAACATTACCCTTAGTAGCTTTTTCTTTTCTTTTCTTTTTTTACAGAGGTCATAGGGGCCTGAACTCAAGGCTACTCTATTACTTAAGCCACAGCACCACTTCAGGCTTTTTCTGCTTATGTGGTGCTAGGAATCGAACCCAGGGCCTCATGCATGCAAGGCAAGCACTCTACCACGGAGCCACCTTCCCAGCCCTAGTATCTTTTTCTAAGTAGGGACTAGTCACAGCAGTGGCAAACCTCCCATTCCTCATTTCTGCCAACATGTTCTATAAAACAAAGTGAATAAAGTCTGCAAACCACAAATATTTCACCTATTCCCTTTGGCTTGAAGATAATGTTGAGAAGGTCTGGACACCTAGAAATCAAAGGACTGCATCCACCTCTTACTACAGATCAATCCACTCACCATCTCGGTCCTCATCATGGACATCAATCCACTCACCATCTCGGTCCTCATCATGGACACTGAGGTATAGATACTCTAGGCCTCTTCCTTTTTTTCCATGTTCTGCTCCTTGTAGTTTAGTCATAAGAGTTGTTTTACCAGAACCATCTTCACCTATAAATGTTTACAAGAAAACAAAGATATACTGTTTATTCTGAATAAGGATAACACCCAAAGAACAATTAAGAATCTCAGGCAAACTCAGGTGCTGGTGGCTCATGCCTGTAATCCTAGCTACTCAGGATGCTGAGATGTGAGATTCGTGGTTCAAAGCCAGCTGAGCAAGAAAGTTCGTGAACACTCATCTCCATTAACCACCAAAAAGCTATAGAGGGGTGGCTCAAGTGGTAGAGCATTAGCCTTGAGCAATAAGCTCAGGGACAGTGCCCAGTCCTTGTGTTCAAGCCCAGGAACAGCAACACAACAAAACAGCACACACACACATAAAAAGGACCAAAACATAAAACAAGCCAATCTCATGCAAAGCCCACTTGTCTAGGCCTCATTCACTCTCATAAGCAAAGCAGACTTTGCTTTCAAAGTGACTAACAGTGGCACCGGTGGCTCATGCCTACAATCCCAGCTACTCAGGAAGCTAAGATGTGAGGGTTGGGGTTCAAAGTCAGCTTAGGCAGGAAAGTCTGTGAGACTATCAGCTAACAGTTGTAAGTGGAGCTGTGGCTCAAGCAGTGCCAGCCTTCAGTGAAAAACTAAGGTACAGTGCCCAGGCCCCAATACTGGTATGTGTGCATGCATGCGTATGTGCGCGCGTGCACATGTATGCACTCACACTCACACACACAGTGACTAGAGGTTGAGGGTAGACAAAGATAGAATTTTCAAGATCTAAATGACATCTTTTTTTGGGGGGTTGGGGGGGAGGGTCATAGGGCCTGAACTCTAGACTTGAGCACTGTCCCTCAGCTCTTCAGCTCAAGGCTAGCACTCTACCACTTGAGCCACAGCACCACTTCTGGCTTTTTCTGCTTATGTGGTGCTGAGGAATT